TTAAGAGATTTTCTGATATTTATCCAAAATTTGAGGGAACGGTGCCTTCCTTCGGTAGTACCGGGTACAGAAGTAATGTGGTCGGTGTTCGACATTTTGATGAATTTCAGGCGTATTTCGGTTTGGGCGTGTTATCCATTCTCCAGAACTCAGCATTTTAGGATCCATTGTGAATGGATTACACTCCTGGTTGTGATTATGTTTGGAATCCCTTCGTGAAGCCGAAAAGTGTTCGCTGTCTCCACTACAACACTTCTTCAACTTGCGAATCCATCTAGCAATTCCCCATCCGCTCGTGTTTTCAGACAGTGTTTCCGAGTGAAGTGGCGAAGAACGTTGTAGTTCAATTGCGGGTTCTTAAAACATTTGAAGGTGGGAATTAACTTTTCCATGATTTTGCTTCATTTTTTTGAAAAAAACAAAGTTCCCTCGGCGATATCAGGAGTCCATTGTTATATGTGATGGAATGGAATGTGAATTGCGGTTATTTTGTAGAGTTTACATCTGTCGTTTGAACAGATTTGATCGATCCTCGAGTGGAAACACCAAATATCGTTAAAATAAATGTCCGTGGTGACGTAATTGTCGTTGCACTCTGTTCCGGCATTTCTGTATTATTGTGGATAAAAAAAGAGCGAATTCAATAGCTGATTCTATCACTAACACGTGGGCGTCCACCTTGCTATCCGTTTCATAGATCGATAAATTATATTGCTAATTTATTTTACGTTCCCTTCTTGTTTAGGCAACTAACCCTACTAGCACAACGGTCGAGCGAATTCAGTCCAAGTGATCATTTGTGCCGTGTCGTCCACAGTGGCCATCGTTATTATTAATTTTATTATTATTATTTTTCACATTGCTACATCATCTCCCAGACCACCATCGTCTATCGAAGAACTAACAGTTTCAATCTGACCGACAAAAGTCACGTAATATATTGCTGTATTTCTAATAAATGCGGTAACGGGAACTAATCCTGATCTATCACGTGCGGCCCCATGGCAGTGCATTAGATCACTGCCCAAGAGAAACCACGTTCAGCTCCCATTATGAATTTTCTAAATGGACATTCCGAAATTTGCAGAATAATACCTCATCATCAGTTACAGTTGGGAGAAATTTCTATCCCCCAAACGTAAACTTAAAACGTAAACTGAGATCTAGCCAGCTGTCCGTAATTCACCTGCGCGACTAGAATGTAACTTTTACTCACTGATGAAAGCAAAACAACGGGATGTTTTTATGGACGTTTGAACAACACGGATCAGTGTCATGCCAGAGTGAATGCTAACTTCGGTATCCGTCGTTTGACTGTTTTCAAATGGTGTCATCCACGCCGAAATTCCCTCCTAACAGATGTTAGTGGTGGATATTTTTAGGACTGGCCTAGTCGCAGTTGGAATCCCAGTGCATGCCCGTTAGCTGCCTGTCAGAGAAAAAATTTAACAAAACCTTCACTGTCACTCACGAGTGTTCTGTCCCAAATCAGACGAAAATGAATGCAGGAGCTTCCGTGGACAACCTGCTGGGAGCGTGGAATAGCCCCACGTTCACTGGGTTCGCTTTTATTCTCAACCTATCAGAAATCTAACAGAATTTCTTCTATTTGAGTAAAACTTCACATTAAACTACCATCTAACAACGTCAGCAGTCGAGGAGACACCATCAGCACGATGTTGGCCACTGTAATGATGAACGTCCACGGTGATGTTCAGCACCCTCATGAATAGCAACGAAACGAGCGAACAAATCAACAGGCGCCTGATCAATCACCAATGAGCGCACCCGAGCTGCCAATATTCCAATGTATTTTTAAGAGATTTTCTGATATTTATCCAAAATTTGAGGGAACGGTGCCTTCCTTCGGTAGTACCGGGTACAGAAGTAATGTGGTCGGTGTTCGACATTTTGATGAATTTCAGGCGTATTTCGGTTTGGGCGTGTTATCCATTCTCCAGAACTCAGCATTTTAGGATCCATTGTGAATGGATTACACTCCTGGTTGTGATTATGTTTGGAATCCCTTCGTGAAGCCGAAAAGTGTTCGCTGTCTCCACTACAACACTTCTTCAACTTGCGAATCCATCTAGCAATTCCCCATCCGCTCGTGTTTTCAGACAGTGTTTCCGAGTGAAGTGGCGAAGAACGTTGTAGTTCAATTGCGGGTTCTTAAAACATTTGAAGGTGGGAATTAACTTTTCCCTGATTTTGCTTCATTTTTTTGAAAAAAAACACAAAGTTCCCTCGGCGATATCAGGAGTCTATTATTATATGTGATGGAATGGAATGAGAATTGTGGCTAGTTTGTAGAGTTTACACCTGTCGTTTGAACAGATTTGATCGATCCTCGAGTGGAAACACCAAATATCGTTAAAATAAATGTCCGTGGTGACGTAATTGTCGTTGCACTCTGTTCCGGCATTTCTGTATTATTGTGGATAAAAAAAGAGCGAATTCAATAGCTGATTCTATCACTAACACGTGGGCGTCCACCTTGCTATCCGTTTCATAGATCGATAAATTATATTGCTAATTTATTTTACGTTCCCTTCTTGTTTAGGCAACCAACCCTACTAGCACAACGGTCGAGCGAATTCAGTCCAAGTGATCATTTGTGCCGTGTCGTCCACAGTGGCCATCGTTATTATTATTATTATTATTATTATTATTATTACCCTCATCACCATCATCATCATCATCGTCATCATCATCATCATCATCATCGGCAGCACAAGACCAGTGTTCGACACCAATGCTCCGCTGCCGTACACCTGTAATTTATTTGAGTCTTATTTTGAAGAAAAGAATGAATGTGGATGGTGAAGCGACTTGATGCTAGCCTGATGCGATCTATCCGAGGGACTCACACATCCAGACACTCATTTGAGGAATTTGCTTAGAGATTGACAACAAAAGCGTCGTTGACGCTAATTAGCAGCCACATCTTGCAGCGTCACGAAACAAGCGCGGTGGGGATCAGGCGGTTGCGTTCTAAAAGATGAGTAGCACCGAAAGCACACAAACGTTTCGTAATCTCTTTCATACTCCACTGCTAAGTCAAGGGTTGGTCACCTCTCTGCTTTCGTCACTGTGCATCGGACACGAAAAACAGCACTCCCTTCGGCAAACGCTGGTTTGGCATGTGTGAAACATGGCCTAACTGACGCAGCTTCTGATGTTGGGCACATTCTTTTATGGAAATCCCAGGTCCGCAACACAAACCCCGCTTCCGAACTGCCTCGTTACGGGTTCCCCGACACCACATGGAAATCCCAGGTCCACAACACAAACCCCGCTTCCGAACTACCTCGTTACGGGTTCCCCGACACCAGCCTACATCAACCGTGGTTCTGGTAATAGGGAATACTTCGCACGACGATTTGAATCTTTGCAAACAATGATTCGTGAAGGCAACTGTCGGACACAGGTAGTGTTTTTTCGACTCCCTTCGACCTTATCGACAGAGTTTAAACAAATCTGCAAAAGACGAGGCCCATGTTTCTTGTTTGGCAAAAGAGCTTCCTTTACTTTAAATCAGTTAGTTGATTTTATTGGCGCACTTGCGAATCTCCAAATACCTTGATATTCATACCGGTGAAGAAATGCTGAAGAAATGTTACCGTCCAGGAACGCAGTTGGAAACTGGTCACATTCTTACGGCCATAAAAGAGCTCGGAGGCAATTCCTGTGGTTCCTGCTCACACCCAACCCTGTCAGATTGAAACATGGGCTTAATGTACTGAATAGTAAGGCTCACTGGGTGTTCGTTTGCTTTAGAGCCCAGGTAATTAGTTTTATGGTACGTGAGTCAACAACAGCGCTCTGGGAAAACATGGTGCAGTTTCTCAGGCTAAGTGCTGCGGAGTTTTGTAGAGGCTGGTTGGCGTGAGATGTTAGTTTGCCATGAGAAATCCCAAAAGTTGCAGGGAAAATTCAGAAAAAATGTGCAAATACATGTACTTTGCATTGATTTACAGCAGTGTTTTGTGTTTTGACGTTGGAGCAGTTTGTCATTCTGCTTAGACCGTTTTATTTTTCGGCATCAAATGATCGCCTATTAGAGCCGCGGTGGCGGTTGGCTACGGCGAACTGAAGTACTTTCCCGATCCTGATTTCCCCACTTCGTATAGTACGGTTCAGGTAAATTCGAAACTATAAATACCGGTCTGCAACTACATCCAGACATTCTATTTGTCAATATCAAATGGTTGCCCTCTTTCCTAATATGGGTTTTGTAAAAAGCGTCCCAAGATTTCAAACAGTCAAAAAACAACAGAGAAAATACGAAAAATGCTTATCTGAACTTTACACCAATCTCTGTCTGTCTTGCCCAAGTCTGTAAGTTTGCACTCGAAAGATTCAGTCTGAACAGTGTATCAACCTACTTTGTGCGACAAAGTTAACCTGTAATAAGCACGTTACATTCCGAGAAATATACTTATTTGGAGGTCAATTTGGTTTTCATGAGAGACTCAACTGGATCTCCCTTTTAAGATGTTCAACAACTAAATGTGCACCACACAGGCCACCTCATGTTTCAGTTGGCACGATAGTCGATCGAGCGCAGCATATTTTCATGAAGGAAACTACTCACAAGGTTGCTGGAAACTCTTCGACAGCCCACGACCGGTTTCGGCCTTCCGTTTCGGGCCCATCAGGTAGGCGCATTCCCCGAGTTTCCGTCAAGCTTACGATCTATTGGACCCAAATTGCACCGTTTTCGAGAAATATACTCATTTGCAAATCAGCTCAACTGAATCTCTCATTTATGATATTCTACAACTGAATGTTCGCCTGGTTCGGGACGCTGCAAGATGCGGCTGCTAATCGTTGTCAACGATGCTTTTGTTGTCAATCTCTATACAATTTGCGCGAATGAGTGTCTGGACATATGAATCCCTCGGAAAGATCGCATCAGGCTAGCAGCAAGCAGTTTCACCATCCACATTTATCCTTTTCTTCAAAATAAGACTCAGTCAGCTTGTGAGTAGTTTCCTTTATGAAAATATACTGGGATATCTCGAATATCGTGCCAACTGAATCATGAGGCGGCCTGTGTGCATCACATTCAGTTGTAGAATATCATAAACGAGAGATTCAGTTGAGTCTGTCGTGAAAACCAAATTGATTTGCAAATGAGTGTATTTCTCGAAAACAGTGCAATTTGGGTTCAAGTAGATCATGGGGTTGACGGAAGCTCGGGGACTGCGCCTATCTGATGAGCCCGAAACGGAAGGGCGAAACCGGTCTTGAGCTGTAAAAGAGTTTTCAGCAACCCTGTGAGCAAGTTATATCCTGTTATCCCACTATCTCACTGAAAATGGTTAGTCAGTTGCAAATTAGGCGTCCTACCAAAGTTTGACAGATGAGGTAAAACTCTTAAAATATCATCGGATGCTATGTTGAGTAGGTACTGTTTAAACGTCAATATGATACATGAATATCGTTCAGCTGTAGCACCCTTTCAGTACCTAGCTTCCATGTCACACGAAGGAGGCACGAGGGCTGGGATACTGCCAGGTTGCCCAATCCCAGACAGGGGAAGTCGAGAGGCAGAGGTTGGGTTCGAACCACGAACCTTCCGGTCAGTAAATTCGCGCTCTTAGCGCTTGGTCCATCTCGCCCACGATACGTGAAAAACGTAATATAATTTGAAATAAACAAACACAACTGATGGAATCTTCCAGTTACTGGGTGGTTGGTCTTGCTTCCATCATAAGCATTGTTGTATCTGCGTTTATTGTAGGTGACGTAGAGTAGAATTTCTATACAACACAAAAAGTGATTATCAACTAAGATTTTGTCCTGTCAATGGGGCCAATCAGTGTTAAAAAGCCGAGAAGCATTGTACAGCTGTTTCATTCTTACTGGGATGCATTAGCATTGTGTAGATTACAGATTTTCAGTAAGATTGGAACTCACAAGGCTAATAGCTGGAACAACTAAACGTTTGGCCACGAGTGGCTGGTCAGTCCCACTGATTCTTTGGTTACGAAAACCACATCACGTGACTGCCCGTGCCATCTTATAAAATTATTCTTCCTTTTGAGCTACTTATTGTTTTCTGGCTAGTATCAGAAATTCAGTAATTCTAGTTACTGTTAGAGGTTTTAGGTGATCGGTGTGTCGTAAAGTTTCAATCAGTGTTAGTTATTGCTGGCGTCTGAACGCAGCTCACCTCAGTTGAGCCCGTTGCACGACTTGGCTGTTGGCGGCACTGCTAAGTTCTTCAGGTCAATGGCTCGTCCATCGCAGCTCAAAAGCTCTCCCAGTTGTGGACAGCACTAAGTGGTACGCAAACTAATACCCCGGGGCAGCAGATGATCGCACTCGTAACCAGGCGAACAAACCATCCACAGGTTTTCAGTCCGATCCAACGTCATCATTGGATTGTACACGCAGTTTCACTATCGCCCTAAGCTTGAGAACTCAGCTATTTGCACACACAGGCGACCTAGATTGGTGGGGATTTCAACTGAGAGAAGGTTTTGAGACAGGCAAAAAGCGTTGGCAGTATACTTCTAAATCACCGCAAAGTGCGAAATATGCTTAAAAAACAGCTGCTGCTCACGCATGAAGCGTGTGAACGGATTCAAAGTGCCCACGCAAGTTTTTCACAAACCTTTTCAACGAAGATTTTGTCCTCTAATTGAGGCCAGTCTATGCTGAATGACTGAGTAGCGCGAAATTTGCTGGAGTTTCGTGAGATTTGAACCATTGATTGGTCCCAATACGGAGGTGAAACAGCTGTCCAGTGCTTCTTGGCTTTTCAGCATAGACTCGTTCCAACTACAGGGCCAAATCGTCCTTGAAAATTCCCATGTTTTTTCATAACGTCAACCAAAAAGCTTACCTGGAGCTTATAAAGTCCAGACAGCGGATCATCTAGTTGATGTACTAACTGATTTTTTGGACCTGAATTCAAAAATGTACTTAAAATTTCCTGTCACTCAGCTCTAAAACTGTGGACTACGAAAGGTTATTGAACATCTAAATTAGAACGGTTCATGCTATGGAAGTCATTTGGCATCTGTTATTCCTTCACCAACAATATCACGTTTAGGATATTCTCAGAGTAACTCACCTAGAGTAGCTGAAACAACTACTCAGTCTTCTCTGTGATTTCTCTTTGCCATGTTTGAGATGTTGCTACAACTGTACGTGACAAAGAAATTGAGTTATCCTATTTCTAATTCTTCTGAAGCATTCGTCTACCTTCTAGTGACACCTGAAAAAGTAAATAAACTAGCGGACTTCTCAAAATTACCCTCAGGTTATACGCAGAGTCTTTACCGGGTTTTCAAACGTTAGGTTTCCATAACCGGTGTGTTCCATCAAAAAAATTGGATAGAGTTATGGAAGGTAATCTCGCTCTCGGGCGTCCTGATGTTCCCATTCGGTACTAAGGCTTGACTATGCTGCAGGTAGTTCAGTCACGACCCTATTGTCAAAAGCACATGCTAGCACTGAAACAAATTTTAATAAGTTATTGTCCACATTTGCTCCAAGTCGTCATATTCTAAGCTGCAGCGTAATAGGTCTGCTGAGTGAACAAACACTCGCTCTTCCTTCAACTTATCCTACTAATGAGGTCGATGAAAACTAAACAGTTCAGTATCACTTTTAACCTACTTGGGGTTCGTGACCACATCACCAATAAGCACGCTTCGTTTTGATGTTCAAATGATACTTTGTCTAGTAGGTGGGTTCATTCCATGCTAAACGGCCGAGAAGCACATTACTACTGTTTCATCCCTGTTTGGAATCATCAGCGAATCATTATCACAAAACTCCAGTAGAGAATTTCGAAATCGCGACCTCAGGGCTGGTACTTGGGACACGTTTAAACACGAGCATTTGACCATCACTGTGAGCAACTCTCATTTGGGCAGCCCCAACTAACCGCACTTCGGTCATGGAAATTACATCAAACTGGATGCTCGAATAACGAATTCCTCGAGGGAGGTTACACCGATCCTCATGTTACCGGAAACTTGTGAGCGATGTCGTATGAAAGGAAGTGTTCCGGTACCTTGAGTACCCTTTGAAACAGAATAGGAGGCGTCCCTCGTACAGCTTAGTAAGAAGGGGAACCGATGGGATGAGAGATTCACTCGAGTCTCTTGTTACCAAGTAGTCACTTTGTAAATACGTGTTCATGGCCACACTACTCACTGTCTGCTTCCCATTGTCTTTAGTCAACTGTGGCTGAACTATGGGTGGATGCGGTGTATTGTACTATACTTTCTCGCCTCGGAAAGTTGCTTAGGCCTGCTCTTGTGGTGAGAAGCTTGCAACTATCTGTAAGTGACCGATTCTTCCAAATAGCCACTCGTTCTCAAGAAGTACTTGAACATGCCCACACCAAGTCTTTTACATGTGAATCTTTGTAATGTACTACTCATAAGGTTGCTGAAAATCCGTCGACGGTTCAAGACCGGTTTCACCCTTTTTGGGGCTCATCAGGTAGGCACAGTACCCGAGTTTCCGTCAACCTTATGCTCTACTTGAAACCAAATTGCGCGAAATGAGCGAATATACACTCATTTGCAAACTTATTTGGTTTTTTTGAGAACATAAGATTGACGTAAACCCGGGGACTGCGCCTACCTGATGAGCCTCAAAAAGGTCGAAACCGGTCGTGGACGGTCGATGAAGATCTAGGCAGAACCATCAGTCATATTCTACACGTATATTGTAATGTACTACTCATAAGGTTGCTGAACACACATAGTTGATTCGTGACATGCTCCTTTTGTCTTCCTTATTAGGGCTCATTTGGTGGACAAAGATAAGTTCGGTCACTGCCACGTAACTGTCGGTACTACTGGCTTCAGACTAATTTGGGGCATTGAGTATACTGGTACGAAAGACTGAATTTTGTCATATTGAATCTCATGACTTGATCAGATTTTGTCGGTAAATAGGTCGGCAGTCAGCCGATTTCCAAGCCAGACGATATTTACCGGCCCAGTTATGAGTCTTAGAACTTGATAATACTTATTTGGTCGTAAGAATCGATACCAAGCTAGCGTAAACTACTACACCTCCAGTTGTGAACCACATAGACTGACTTAGAAGGGAGTCGGTTAGATAGTAAAACGTCTCTGTGGCTTGTCGCTTTGCAACGACGTTTTCTCTGAAACGACCACTTTGTTTTGATTCCGTCATCTAGTGCTTATCTAGTGGGTTTCCGCGATACCTTTATCAATAGCTGAAGAAAATCAACTCTTGCGTAACTAAGTACACAGTTTGTCGTAAAAATAAAAGAAGGGCACGCGTTTTGTTCACGGACGAACGAGGGGATACAGTGACGTTCTGAATATCCACGTTTTGGATGACAAGCTATGGTCAGTTTCGTCATTGCTTGTTGTACAAGAGTTCTACGGTGGCAGAAATTCACTCCTAGACCAGGAATCGTTGGTGGATGGAGTTATGAAATCAAGAGCTTATGATTGCCAACCAAAAGTGACTGCTATCTAATCCCATATTTACGTCACTCGATGAACCCCGATAAAGATGAAAAACCGTTCGGTACCCCAATACATCTTTACTGTCAAGCCCCTGAGCAGAAGCTCACGCAGGGTTAATACTTACTGAAGGTCGATCACATTTTTATGAGTAATTCGTCACACTGCCAGTAAACTAATTTTCGTCCCTAGCTTTGTGCGACACCTCGTCAACTCAGGTTTGAAAGCAGAACCAGAAGTTTATGTACTGCACATTTGATTGCGCATGAGAAACTGACAATTTCAGCACTTATGTGTTCCGGCCAAACGATCGAATAACTTCGAGATTTGGTGTTGACTGAGGGGAAGCCACCACAACCCCATGTTTGTCGCACTGTGGTTGTTTTGTTCATTAGTTTTGAAAAATTGTTTCCTTTAAACTGTTTTCATCCAGCCTCAGTAGTCCACCTGCAATCGTTTGTTGCGAGAAGTTACTGAGTTGGTGTTCTTGGTGAGGCGTTCTACCCCTATGGTTTTGCCGGATGTAGGGTGCGGGAAAGTCACCAAATTTAAGTTTGTGTCCAGCTACATGGAGGGTTGCAGAGGTCCCAATTTTGAAATTGATGGACTCTGCTCATTTTCAATGCATGAACTCAGTGCACCCATCCAATTTACCTGATTGGGTCCGTGTGTAGGTTGGGCGCATTGTTTATGGTCTTAACAAACAGGCGGTGCTCATGGTACTAGTTGGTATCTTTTGCATTAGATATGCAAGTCAGCAATCTCTCCAAAGTCGTTAAACAATAAATCAAGAGCGTGACTGACCTGTGGTTAACATTTTAGAGACGTCAGTCTTCTCTTTGAGCGAACACTCATCAGGCTAGTACCTTTTTCAGTGTTCATTCAACTTCCTTTTTCACATCTCACGCATCATGTCATGATGTACCAACTGGAAGAAAGTAGTCCATTTTAGAGACAGCGTTATTCGCAAGCTAAAAGGCTGTTTTTGACCATACTGTTCCACTTATGATAGATCACAATTGTTCAACAGATAAAAACTAGCCAGTTAAAGTAATAATGACCTATGAGCAGAATCTAATCACTGGTTTGTGATGCTTCTACACCGTGCTAATTCTGCACACCAAGGTAATAGGTGAACATAAAAACGAGAGAAAACGTCGTGGATACTAAGTAGTATGGACGAAGTTCATGCACATTTCATTTAAAAGCATGATGGACGGCCAAATCCAGTGAAAAACGAACTCAGTTACTGTGGAAAGAGTGGACTGCACGACAGAAGATTTTTACACTTCACCGTTTTGTTCATTTCAGCAGTCTGAGACTATCTGTGATGTCCTTTCCCGGAGATCCGGTGTGTGACCGTAACTTTTGTATTAGGGATGGCTTTGAACAGATATTCGCCGAAAAATCTTCCGCTTTGCTATTCACATTTTATATGCACACCGATTCACACTGATTCATATTGATTTTGTACTGACATTTTCCCCATTGGATTAAACTTCATGTTAGCGACGTTTGCTTTTCCCCCTATTACTTCGAAACACCCTGTTCTCCTGTGCTCTACAGATCAACAGTTTTTGTTTACAGTTAACACATTCATATATTTCCGCTTTGATTTGCCGTCTAATAATAGCGATCCAACAAAATCCGAAGTAGCGTCTATTTGAAACGTATAATTTATTTTGAACAGCCACATGCAACCAACAGGTCATCAGGGGATCTAAGTAATGGTCATCATCATCATCATCGACAGCATGACATCAGTGTTCAACACCGATGCTTCACTGCCGTACAACCATGACTTGTTTGAAAGCCTTATTGTAAAGAAAAGAATGAAGGTGGATGGGGGAGGGACTTAGTGCTAGCTTAACACAATCAAACGTAGGGCGAAGCGACTCCGGACGAGCGCGTGGTCAGAGTCCACAAATGTGTTCCAAAACGACCGGCAGTCAGTTATGGACCCGCGCCATCGGTAACTGATGGCAATGTGGTCGATTTGAGTTTGTGGCCGGCTTGTTGTTGGAGGACACCAAGTGGCTAGACGACTTCGGCTATTTCGGAAGTTAGTACTGCATAAAAACAGCCTGCGATCAGCACACAGCTGAAGCAATCGTTCCCCATTGTCCGTACGTACCGAGTCCAGTCCATGTCGACCTCCCACACGTCCACAAGCATGACCTTACACTTTGTGGGTGCAAAGTGCATACCAATAGTACCCTACAGTTTGTAACCAGTCTTGCGTCACGATCCGCGGAGATGTAAGCAGGCACCAGATCAAAACAGTTACATGCATACATGACTTGAAACATCAATAGGTGGTATCAAGTTGAACTGTAATGAGGCTCTAGTCGACGAGCCATAGGGAGGAAAAAGCCAGTCGTGGACTGCCAAAGAGTTTCCGGAAACCTAATGATTTGTACGCTTTGACTGGACAAGTAAGGGACTTGTGGTCATTTAGAGGGATTAGAGCAGGAAAGGACAAGTCTTTAACATACTGTACTAACCTTGCGACTTGAAGTTCTCCTGTTGGCTGGTCAAAATGAAAGGGAAGCAATGTTACACGGGACCCCACCAACATAACCTCTCACCGATGTTTTTTCGTACCCTTCGGGGAAAAACAAAAACAAGCAGTATTCCAAAGAGAGGTGAAGAAGAACAACTGGCACCTTGAAGATTACCTAGAGGAGTTACACTGTTCAAAGAATCCGAAGCGGATGGCAGCACATCTAACGATGCGACTCTCTATGGAGTGTTATTCACGGCAGTTGAAATAAAACAAAGGGTTAGATGGTCCAATCAAGCTGAGTTTGATCAGGTTTGGCTTTTGGCAGTCGTCTGCGAAACCCGTCGGTGGAGTCAACACTAGACTTTTCATAAAGGAAACTACTCACAAGGTTGCTGAGTTTCGCCCTTCTGGGGGCTCATCAGGGAGGGGGAGTCCTCATGTCTCCCTCAACGACAGATTCAGTTGAGTCTTTCGTGAAAACCCGGTGGATAGGTAAATGAGTGTATTTGTTGAAATCAGTTCAATTTGAGTTGAAGTAGAACATAAGGTTGACGGAACCTCTGTGGTAGCGCCTATCTGATGAGTCCCAAGAAGGGCGAAACCGATAGTGAGCTGTCGAGAAGTTTCTGCTAATGCTTCATCAAAATGTGAAGAAAGTACACCATCAATGTCTCCATGATCCCTGGTTTTGATCCATAACTTCTTGTTTCAGGTTTATATGAGCTTTGTAACTTGGTTGTGCGTGTACTGAAATGGCTTATGAGCTGAAACGTGTGTTCATAAAAATACTTCGAAATATTTTGGTTTTAAGAGACCAGTTGGAGTACGTATGACTCCTCTAAACAGCTCTTCACACAAAAAGGTAAATGGTTACTCTTTCACTTAACGTCAAGTTCTCATATAAGTGACTTCGCGTAACAAAAGAGATACTTCATTGTCACCGGCTGTTTACCATCAATGTTAAACACTGATGTTTTGCTACCCTATAATCTATTGTAAAATACTCCAGTCTTTTTCGTATTTTGACAAGAACAAGCCGTCTGGAACGTCCAGGGCGTACATTTTCCGTCAACACAGGTCGTTTATATGATTTTCTCTCTTATGGGGTATTATTTTACGTCCACTTGGCTTTGTGTCATGAAGGAACTCCAGCCAGACCGGAATGTACTTTTGAAAGGCGGATGATTTTGAACCACTTACTGGTCACATCTACCTCAAGGGATCTTAATTGTGGAAATCTCAATTGCTTAAGAATCCTTGAACACTACTTAGTAAATTCGCCTTAAGTGAGAACCAAAAATCCTTTTTGAGACTAATTTAAGGAAAGAAGATATATAGCAGAAAATATGATCAATTAGACAGTCAAGAAAGAATTACACTTTGTTTGCTTGGATATGTTGCGAGGTTTCGCGTTTCAGTTTACGCCTGTAGGGTCCAACTGCGCTCGTACCACCAGTCAATGTGATTTTCTACAAAGCAACCTCACAAAATAAGCCACCAAAGGCCTCCATTTTAGCAAGCAGTATTTTACACACAAAAAATCCAGCACTTATGAGACAATTCATGATAGGCAGCTACGCAGATGTTGGTTAATTTGGAGAATGAATAAATATTGTTTCGCTCGTGATGCACATGTGAATCGCGCGCCAAAGGTATAAATGAGGCAGAATGAGTGATCTATGCAACCACGCTTATTAGACAGCTGATACCCATGACAAATAGCTTATTTTTCTTGGTTGGAATGGTTCGTTCGGCGAAAAAACTTGAATTTGTTGTAAGGGATCCCAGCCATATATATATGCGGTACTATACAGTGCGTGCCAGTTTGATTGATTTACATGTAAGTATCGGTGGTGTACAACCTTGATTACTGGGCTTCGGCTCATGAGCTTTTTTCTGCTTTCCATCCACAGAAGTTGTCTTGAACCCCTACTTTTGGAGAATCACTGTCCCCTGGTGCCTACACTACGTATTTGATCCCTGCATGGTCGCCAGTTACGTAACATCTCTGTGTTAACGGAAATTATCCGAACTCAGCGGGTGGATAGTTAGAGGATAGCAGCCAGGTGGGGCTGAAAAGGAGAACGCGATGTGTTAGATGAATGTATCAGTGAGTTATTTGCTCTCGTCAACTATTCACGGAGAACCGAAAGAACATAGGTTTGGCAGTTTATTTTCTGAGTACCGGGACAAGTGTGGTCAGAATTAAAGCGAGCAGAAAGCGCGTGTACAATCATATAACTACACAAGGAGTGTTAGCTATTGGGGGGACTTTTAATCTTCCCTGGATGGTAACCTGGGTCACTTTATCACCACTACCGTCTCCGAAAGTAGATAAAGGAGATGGTGGTTAGTGATGGCGTGCACTTTGACATCTGTCGGAAAATGTAGACTTCGAGCGTCAAATAAACGTATACCTTAACATTTTACTTTGGAAACGACAGAAACATGAAAGCTATTTTAATCCGCTATCATCAAATTGGTCGTCAAAAGATACACTTCTTTGGAAAAGCATGAAACTGAACACGAAGCGACCGATGCGAAAATGGAAGTAATCGTGGGGAAAATGATTGGGATAGAATTGCCTAATACCAGATGTAACGGACCCGCCGGATAGTACAAAGAACAGAGGAATAATGACGACTCGCGCTCCGAAACACAAAAGCTGCCGGTCATGGGAACCAGGTGGCACGATCATATATGGTGGCAACCAATCAGGCTGCACACATCTCAGTGAGTATGTGAATGGCTTTCACTCGGTTGGCTACTGGTCCGTCGGGTCTATTTCCTTCAACATTCGATTGTTCACTAAATATGTGCTTGTTCTTTGTAAGATGATGGTGTGGAAATGATGAAGTGGAAATTACTGCGACTTCCTTAGATGTTCCTCTCATGGTAAATGTTTGGACTGAATCGGTTTGTGGGTACTGTAGGGCGCCAATTAGAATAGTGACAAATGAACACGGAATACAACGTTTCAAAACTCGAATGATGGGCCCAACCGGTGGGGAACAACACGCTTCTTACCAGAACACATATCCTGACTACACAACCGAGATTGATCACGTATACTGCTTGATTTGATTTATTATTCAAACGAAAGCCTAAAAGTAGTGAGAGTGGGTGTCCAGTGATTCGTACACCAAATCAATCGTAGCAATAATTAATTCTTCAGTAAATGGTTTCATATTTTATGATTTTAATTCCATCGAACCATTTTAAATCCCTTGCTTAGTCGATCTAAGCAGCTGCAAGATTTAAAGAAAAGTTGAAAGTTTCCGCGGAATTCCTAAATCTCTACAAAGTATCACCACAATGGTGAAAACACTCTGTTGAAAGAGAGCTGCTACTCCTGGTATTGAATCACAGTGTTCAAGTTTCCATGTTCTCATTCTTTGGAAGATATCTACGGTTCATGGTCTGGTACTAATATCATATTGTTGAAAAGTTTCCAACTGAGCGCAGTTGTCTTTTTCAAGTTCCGATGCTCAGCTGGCCATTACCATAAAGATAAGACTATGCAACTTTAAAGAATGTTGCATTTCGTACCGCTGCTTCTGGTCTTAAGCCAGCTGAAGGAAAGTATCTCTAAAAATCAGATACGGAATGCCAACGTTAAACGAGTTCACGATGGATCTCAAGTTATTCTATTTGTCTGAGGAAGACAGTTGCCTGAACAGATGCCGCTGGCTAACTTATAACTCACGGAGTCCGCGAGGTTTTCCCAAAGTACGGTTTCGTTGAATTGTCAGCTGTGATGTATCTTAGCAAGTGCTGCGAACAAAAATGAATACGGTTGAGTGATGTTGCTCCGGTACACCAAATCGGAATGCCATCACTATGACCAGTTTAATTCGTCAAGGGCGTTCAGTTTCGACTGTTGGTCAACCACTTTTAGACTGGAAGATGAAAATGGACTTTCGTATGTATCATGAGCCACAGTCTCATTTAATGTACTGTTGTTCAAATGCACAATTGTAGTACGCTATCGTGCAAATTAGTTTGCAAATCAAAGTATATTCGCTGCGCATTCATTTGCCTGGAAACATCACAACCGAGAGATTCAGCTGGGTTCCAGGTGAGTCTCTCGAAAAGAAACCACATTAGTTTGCAAATGAGTGTATATTCGCTCATTTCGTGCAATTTGGTTTCAAGTAGAGCATAAGGTTGACGGAAACCCGGGGATTGCGCCTACCTGATGAGCCCCAAAAAGGGCGAGACCGGTCATGGGCTGTCGACGGATTTTCGGCAACCTTATGAGTAGTATCGCGATATCTCGGATATCGTAGTGACTGAAACATGAGGTGGCCTGGTGCAGCGCATTCATTTGCCTGGAAACATCACAACCGAGAGATTCAGCTGGGTTCCAGGTGAGTCTCTCGAAAAGAAACCACATTAGTTTGCAAATGAGTGTATATTCGCTCATTTCGTGCAATTTGGTTTCAAGTAGAGCATAAGGTTGACGGAAACCCGGGGATTGCGCCTACCTGATGAGCCCCAAAAAGGGCGAGACCGGTCATGGGCTGTCGACGGATTTTCGGCAACCTTATGAGTAGTATCGCGATATCTCGGATATCGTAGTGACTGAAACATGAGGTGGCCTGGTGCAGCGCATTCATTTGCCTGGAAACATCACAACCGAGAGATTCAGCTGGGTTCCAGGTGAGTCTCTCGAAAAGAAACCACATTAGTTTGCAAATGAGTGTATATTCGCTAATTGCGTGCATGTCTATTTAACACCAGTTCGATTTTATCACACTTCATGTCGACAAATGGGATTGCACTTGCTGTTCTGCAAGGATCAATACTGGAAAAAAGTACCCGCTGAATTGTAGCTTGGACTTAAATTAAAAGGCCAACAAAACAGTTGATTGTCTACACGGGATGAGCTACAGGATCTCCGTTGTTTGTATTGCAAAGCTCAGAAGGGAGAAATACTACCAGACGGACTGGCCTGAGAGAAATTACACATCATTTTAGATGTCCCGAAACAAGGCCAAAAGCACGCCGTCTAGCTGACGTAGTTAAGCCTCACGGTTGAAATAATACAGGCATAAACGTTTTTTACACAGAAATTTTTTGCCTTCGATTCTGGTTTTCGGTGGCTAACTCCAATTAACTGATTGATTATTCCTACTTAGTACAACAATACACTTTTAGGTAGGCAGGTGTCAAGTCAACGAATGAGGGTCAGTGCTGACTGCCGTCCAGTAGGTTTCAAGTTCGAAAGTTTTCCACGAAGACGCATCAGCTGTAGACAGCTGGTTGTCTCTTGACTGAAAAGGACAGAGTCAGAAAGCAGAATTTCAAAACTGCCTGATTAGATTCAAAGTTGGTTTTTATTAAAATGAAATCTAGGAAAGCTGAGCGATTGAAATGGGTAGCTTTGAATTTCGTGACAGATGTGCAGATGGGATTATTATGGTATGGTACTAAGCTCGACCTAGCGCTGATCCCAGACAATTGTAAAATGACACAAGTACGCACCTGAAGTATATGTGAGGAAGGACAGATGAAGAGATTAGCCATTCTGGAGATGCCGTTTTGTAGAGCCTTACGGGAACAGATACAATCGATTATTTCCACTGGAATGACCAATAGACATCTACCTCCAAAGTTATCTCCATTTTTCTGAAAAGAAACCTGGCGCATTATCCATCTGGTGGAGCTCGAAGGATTTCCTCGAACGAGACTTCTGAAAAGAAAAAGGGATCGCTCACAAAAATGTCTCATTAAAACGGCTATCACAACCGGTTTTTCAGGCTACATCCTAAACCCAATTCACGGAAATGACTTATCATAATCGGGTCGAAAGTGCTAGAGAGGTATTAGCTACATTTGTTCATCACAAGGTGTTATATAATCGGACGGGAAAACAAGAGACGGCAGACTTTCTGGCCTCATTGGTTTGCATTCATCATTTCGGATATTTCTGCAGATCCATCCAAACTGATAGGCCGATGAAGTCACAACTCAGACGGATGTCTGCACGTCTTCGGCTTATACTCCAGCACAGGATGAGGGAATTCGTTAACGATGGTAAACTTTTGTATGTTTTGCTACTTTTAATCTGCCGGTATCAATACCGCAGCTGTATCACTCGAATTAACAGTCATAAGACATCAGTTTGACTTGCTGGTAGCTTCGCTACTGGCCCCTTCTGTTCACCCTACTTTTTTATTCCATCGGGTCTACGTGGGGTACCTGACATCCAGGGGATGCGCAAGAGGTCCAGTGCAAACCGTATACGGTATTTCAAACTGTGATGATAGAATTTTCACTTACGTCCAGAATTTTACAAAATAACTTTATTGAGAATGGAAAAAATTGACTGGATACTACGAGGGACGCCTCATGAGGCAAAGTTAGACTATTCCTGATAGACTCTCAGTGCTACTGAACAAAATAGCAAAACCGGTCGCTGCATCTGCCAAATCACCTGCAGGTGCGTTGAAATTTACGTTAGTAGGGCTGACAGAAGACCTCAGACGGGAATCAAAAGTGTTTTCTCAAATACATTTATGCACCATCTCACAATGCTTACATTGACTTAGTTTCATCCGCTAGGAACTTCGGTTCATAAATCACGGAAGACTTGGTCGCATCCGGGCCTAACATTGACCTTCATTTGTCATTCCAGATAACTGTAATACGCAATCCGGTAAAGGGACTGAAATTTCTAGAAATTCCAAGCGAGCCAATGTTACGCATTACCCGAAGGTCATCAGGGTTTTATCGACCGGACTACATCACGTGAGACAACTGAGAAAAACTGTTGCGGTTATAAGTTGTTATTTTGCTTGCGTTACTCTGTTCTTCTCGCGGAGGAGGAGGCGAATTTATTCAGCAGCTGTGTTCATCTCACCGCACTGTTCATATTGCTCAGGGAAAAGCAGTAAGTTAGATGGATTTGCTCACTGAATGCTTTAAACATCCGATATTCTTTCACTGCTGTTGTTTACAAATGCTACCACCAAGTGATAAATCTGTCTAGTAGTCGTCAGGCCCCTTTCATATCACCGTTTATTTTTGAGAGCACGGTCACAAACATAAATATTAAATGCAAGCGATGGGTGTGGATGGGTTACGGGAGAATATTACATGAAAAGAGAGTAGCGTCTCATTCGAAGCTATGCCACCAACAGACCCAGTCGGACAAAATGAATCCTAGCGTATGGATGGATGTTTGGTATGGAAATACACGTGTAAAGATCAGCAACCGAAGTAAAGCAAACAATGCTGAATGCTTTCGAGAAATACACTCATTTGTTAATCAATTTGGTTTTCATGAGAGACTCAAATGAATCTCTAGTTTATGATATTCTACAACTGAAGGTGATGCACACAGGCCGCCTCATGTTTCAGTTGGCACAATATTCACGATATCGCAGTATATCTTCATGAAGGAAACTACTCACAAGGTTGCGTGAAAACTAAACTGACTGTGACCTTAGGGAGCCCCAGTTCAATAATAGACTTCGCAAACTGAGGAAAGCAGATCGCTTGATAAGAAATGATCATCGACTGGTGGACCAAAAAGTTGACATCACAACCGATGGCATGTGGGGCTGAGATTATTGCGAGGGAATATTCATCAGCGCCATACTTCTGCTTCCTCTCATTCCACACAGTCACTTCGCGCCCATCCAAGACTGTGCTGAAGTCTATTACAGTTGCTCGGTGATCTTGAACAGCGCTTAGGTCAGGTTTGATGAAGGACTTCGAAGTGGGTGCTCTGAACTCATCGAAGACGGTGTGTCCCAGGCGACGGAGACGTTTGACGAGTTCCCTTGCAACCCAATTATGACGATCGCATCTTGGATGCAAAGAACTAGTGTTTTCTCCACCTACCTAAACATTAATGAGAGCAATAAACGCGATAAATTATCACTCAGACTTTGCAAACAAGAACGGTGAATATTTGAAACCTCGAATATATTCTCTGTTCGAGCATATGCTTATCCCATCTCCTACTCGGAATTGCAACTGGAACATTCCCAAATTACGTTCTGTATTATGTGGCTAATTCAGCTGAAGACCATTGAAAAATAATTCACCAATCTGATGAGTCAGTGTACCGGCTGTTAACTTCTTGAGGTGTAGTCAATGGTGCGTTACGAAGCAGTAACGGTGGACAATCATTGGCCAATACGACACGCAAGCGATCCTAATGTATCCACCCACTAACTCCCAATGGAGATGAAAGCAGAGTGCCAACTGAAACATGAGGTAGCCTGTGTGCAGCACATTCAGTTGTAGAATGCCATAAACGAGAGATTCAGTTGAGTCTCTCGTGAAAACCAAATTGATTTGAAAAGATAGTGGGTTCCCTCTAAAGGTCAACCACATTATACTTGTCTGAGCAATAGTCGATTGGTAAATCTGGACCAGTGGCACATGGCATTCCACTTATGGCTTCCTTTCTTGGGAAGTAGGTCAGCCATTTGTGGAACAGGGTGATGCCATCTCTCCGTTTATTCTGAGGTCGCTCACTCGAAACGGTGAAATAATGAAGAGATGGAACAACATTTCAATTGTTTGCAATTGTCCTCTATCTATGTATATGTATGTGGTTTGAAACTCACAGGAATAGACGGGTGATGACGGTACCTCGATGATGAACAAGTAACTGATGTCACATTCGACTGTTACGACCGGCTGCTTGGGTCACTACACGTTTGCCCGCCGATCTTATTTCCACTTGCGGTCTAGCGAAAATCGCTGGTGATTCTCCTACTATGCGCAGGCGTCTAGTAGTTGGATGACTACTGAACGACGAATAGTAGTATCTTTGTGTTGTCCTTTGTCTGTCAACATCAAAACTACTGAAAACGTTACCAGGTCCATGGCACTTAACTGTTCGCCTATCTATCAATCTAAATACAAGATAAAACAATGTGGAAGACTGCACTCTCAAAACTTTTAGTTTTTTCTACCCGTATTGGTCAGTCCCCAACTTTCGTTACTGTTGCTCATATATGCTCATCACCGAAGAGAATCGTTCATTCAGGTATTTTCTTGAGTCCACAAAAAATGAAACTCAAATAAAAGTAGGTCTTTTCTTCCCGAAATTGGCAGTTTGGCCTAGAAAAAATTGGGCCGTTCCATTGAAAATTAAAAAACGCTCGATAAGAGTCATCTTTCGAATGTAGCAATGCTTGGATTCAGGATGGTTGCACACAGTGAAGCTTGACGAGACTAACTGCTGCAAAGTTTGTACAAAAATATCGAGACGCATACAATCCTGCAAGGACCCGAATCGAACACTGGTGTTGTTTCACACAATGTACACCCACCTGGTGCTAACCTAAGCAACTGTTTAAAGACTAGGTCTACACTGATTCCTTTGAAATGACATCAGTCAGCAAACGATTTGGTTTGGTTTCACTAAAGTTAGTGATTCACCGCCTTTCAAAACTTAGGTCATCAACTATTTCAACAGTTCATTCTCCTAAATTAAGAATCTCACCAAAAAACCGATCAAAGTTTGTCCAGTTTGTGTGACCTTCAAACATGTCAAAGCGTCGTTGTCTTACCAAGTATTCTTTGCTCAAATTGAACAACAAAAATTTGCAGAATACTTGTCCTAAAATTCTTTGAGCATGATGTGGACCGATGAAGTGTTCAGCAGCAGAGACTTTGAGTAGTCCATTGCATGGTGGACTGTGAACCTACCCCATGCATCAAACTGGTTGAAAATAAATCTGAAAGTTTGAAGCATCATACT